TGCAATTTATGTTTGTAAACTGCCTCCACGACACAGGAGAAAATCCTAGTGTGGGGGTAACGTTTTTTAAAAAAGACAAAAAAGACAAAGAAAAGAAGACCACGCTGTAGCTATATTATAGCTAGAGCACAAATGGGTCAGCCGACCAAGGGGAAGGGAATACTTAGAATTCTTAGGGAATACTAGCGTAAAATAGCTAATAACATATGGAGGCCCTTTCTATTGATAAACTGACATTCTGTTTTAGTCTTTAAGGTTCACAAAATATCAAAACTTTTTAATGGAGGGTGGATACATAGATAGTAAGTGCCTATGGGCCATATCATAGACTTACCAAAAGATGAATTGTGTGATCGTTTGTCACCCATATTCTCAAAAAAAAATTAATTCTGGAAATTACAAATTTTCTTTTTAAATATAACTCTAAAATTAAATCTTCCAATAAAATCGCTTACATAAAATCAATTAAGTTTATTACATAAATATTTACGCTCGTTGGAATGCAAAGTTAGGCTTGATTGAAAGGAGATTATCATACATCGATAAAAACTCGTCTGAAGGACCAGAATGAGTTTCGCTGGAAGTATGATTGTTATTTTCCTTGTAACAGTTTCTATCTCGCCATCTCGTCAAATCTGCACCAGGTACATATGAACATGGAACAGGAGCATTACTGAAAATTAAGATTTTTTTAAGTCTTACGGCAATAGGAACAAGTCTTTTAAAATGTTTTATTTAAATAGGGAGGCACCGCATTTGAGTGGCCGTGCTTCTCTCCACGATGAAATTCGTAAAGGTCAACCTTCAACTGCGATCACTGATGAAAATGTGGCTACTGTCAAGTACAAAAATGTTCTTGACCTCAGTTTCAAGAACATTTTTGTATTGATTTGAGCCAAATTAAAAAAATAAGTAATATTAAAAAAATTGTTGCCGTTGGATGTTACATTGTTATATGATAACGGACGTTTAAATGCTGTGTACGACCCAGTTCCAGTAGATTTGAGGGCGGTCATTTTCAAGCACGTATTTATAATGATGACATTTCTGAGCCATGAAACCATGCTTCTCTTGGTGTAAGGCCCTGTCTGTGTGTGTAAATATTCAGAGGTAGAAAGCGCCGAAACATGGACGATACCGTGACCAGAACCGGAGATACCATGAATCCCCGGGATGGCGACAAACTGGAGAGAATATCGAAAGTGACATCCTTTAGGATGTATCTCTAATGATTGTTTGTCTTAATCAGGTTATTGCCTCGTGTAGTGGCGGGTAAGAATACTCACTACCCAATATCTTCCCGTGGGTGTCGTAAAAGGCGACAGAGGGAAACTGAGGCAGAAGATGGGAAGCAGCATCTTTCTAATAACAGCAAAAAGCAATAAAACTGCAGTTGCCAACCCGCTTGCCAAGCGTGGCATCTATGGCAATATACCCCTCATGAGCAATGACATTAATAAACGGCCCCCAATCCCCGGTGGCCCCGCTATTCCTACGGTGGTGACCATGGTAACGGCGGGGCAGTGGGTGCTAAGAATCTCCGGTGGAGGCTTGGTTGCCACCTACGATGACTCGACCTGGGAACTTATAACGCACGCTCCCTAAGGACTAACGAGAAGATCTTGGGGCTGGAAAAAGAGATAGACAAGTTGCGCTGGAATATTATAAGAGTATCCGAAGTCCAAAAGGAGGGGGAAGACACGGTATTCCTCGAATCCCGCAACTTGTTCTATCACCGGGAGGGCGACCATCTGTCCCAAGGAGGTGTCGGGTTTATCGTCCACGAGTCTCTCGTTAACAACAATGTAAAGATTGAGAGTGTGTCGACGAAAGTTACGTACCTTATACTCAGAATCACCAAACGGCATTCGCTGAAGGTCATACAGGTTTACGCACCAAACTAGGCAGATCCCGATGAGGAGTTAGAGGAAATGTATAAGGATATCTCTCGAACCATGCATCCCACCAAAACCCACTATACGGTGTTAATGGGAGACTTCAACGCAAAACTAGCCTCAAGAGAGAACGGTGAGCTGAAAGTAGAGAAATTCGGAATAGGACAACGGAACCCAACGGGCCAGCTAAGCTAAGTTTTGCAAGACCCGCCGCAGAAGAACACGAAAACTCTCCGATCACACTCTTAATCTCATGGCTGTTAGACGGGAAATGAAGTTGCAGTCTTCAGTAGATTTGATAGCATACAGGCAATTGAACAGACATATCTCCAAACGCATGCGGCGGGACTTACGTAACTTTAATACTGCTCGTATTGAAGTAGCGATCGAGTGGAACCGGGGCTTCAAAGTCTTTGCCAGAGATCTTTCTACCAGAAAGTGCCAACTGTCGAAGCTGAAGACCGAATGTGGCAGCATCGTTTCCGAGACACCTGGGACTTTGAGTGAGATTGAGAGGTTCTATAGGCAGCTGTACACGTCATCGTTGGAGCCAGACGCAAGTGTGAGTAACGATCCAAAAGCGAATCTTATCCGACACTATACCGATAATATCCCGGACGTCAGTCTGAGCGAGATTAGAATGGCTCTTCAGCACCGTAAAAACGGCAAGGCCCCAGGCGAGGATCGAATTACAGCGGAGCTTCGGAAAGCGAGTGGAAAACCATTACTTGAAGTCCATCAGAAGCTCTTTATTAGGTAGTTGTTGGGAGCACTAAGCTCGAAGTTGTTGACGAATATGTTTGCCTGGGACAAATAGCCCGAGTAGCTAAGTCCAACTTCGACCGAGAAGTCAATCGACGGATTCAACTCGGCTGGGCAGCGTTCGGGAAACTACGACACATCTTCTCCTTAGACATACCTTAAAACCTTAGTGCGTATTGCCAGTGATGACCTAAGGGTCTGAGACATGGTCATTCACTGCTGGCCGTATAAGGAAGCTCAAAGTCGCTCAGCGAGCTATGGAAACGGCAATGCTTGGCGATTCTCTGCGTGATAGACTTAAAAACGAGGATATACGCAGTAGAAGCAGAATAACCGACATAGCCCAAATAATTAGTATGCTGAAGTGGCTATAGGCCGGCCATAGCTCGAAGAACCGACAACTGATGGGGAAGAAAGTTTCGCGCGTGGCAGCCTCGTACCGGCAGGCGAAGTGTAGGGCATTCCTTGGGGGAGGCTTATGTTCAGCAGTGGACTTGTGAAGGGATGTAATGATGAATCAGGTTATAATGATTATAAACTGATGTGTCGTACATACAAATTTCGGTTTCCGCAAGGAAGTGAAAACGTAGCCAGTGAGGGGAGGCAAATGTGTCTTTACTTGTTAAACATCGTGGATCTCCTTACGATTCCATATGGTATCGTGGTTAGATATGCCCTTTAGTGCACCGATATATATTACATCTCAACGGTAACGAATACCAATAATAGTAATTTTAAAATAATAAACTATTCACAAAAAAAAAGAATCACTTGTGGTAATATTATAGATGGGAGATGACAGAAAAAGTCAGAAGTTAAAATAAAATAATACATACTCTGCCCGCATGTTCAGGAAAGCCTGTGGTTGAATGTACTTGATACCCTTCGCATTATCACAGGCAAACCGAGCTAAATTAGTTTTCCTGACTTCTTGTAATTGGCCTGTAAATGAAAATAATGTTTTTATTTAGTTTGCTATTTGAAAATAATTAAAGTTAGTTGAGGGAAATCGGTTTCGTTCCGGATATGAACGCGTTAGACCGACATTTCACCCGGATTACAGTGATAACGTCAAATTATACCGGTATTAAAGTTTAAATCACAAAATTAAACAATCAAAAGTCAGTAACAAGATTATTACATATTGAACATTGTAAGGCAACTCACATTTAGTGCTTCGCAGTGCATAGATATCGCTGTTAAAAATATTAGTTATTATTTTTAAAATTAGAGCCATTGAGTAATACCATCTGACTGTGAGTGATGAGTAGCCACTTCCAAATAAAAAGATTTCCAAATACATTGTCATAGTCGTAGATATTATTCCAAAAACTATATACAATGTATGGGAAAACACTAATAGAACATAAAATGTGTAGTATTATAATTAAGTAACATTAAAATATCATGAAATTTATTAATAATTAAACTATGCATGCAATAATTACTTCTTACAAAATTCAATGTAATCATTCACTGTATAGAAACGTTTCTTCATTAAAAATATATTAAAAACTTTATTTAAATAAAATATGCAATTTGAGATTTTGTTTGTCAATAACATGGGATCAATGTCAATAAAGTTCATTGCTGATAGGACTCCCCATTGAATGCATCATAAGTGGGATATTTGACACGCTTGACAGACGGGAGTTGTTGTTTTTCTTCTAGTTACCATCACTGGTTTCCTACGACTCCTACGGAACGATATGTGGTAGTGAATATTCAGACACGGCCATTACACAGATAGTTAAGATGTTTCTTAGTACGTAATTAAACTTCTTCTTTATCTGCTCATGAAAGTCTACAGCTGGACATGGACCTCTCCTTTGTAGAGAGGACTTGCCTTAACCGTCATAGTCGGATTGAAGATCGTACTATAAGACGCGGACTTTCACACTGCTTCCCATCGCCGGTCTTTGTCTTTGACGTATGGCGTGAACGAGATATTTTTTATTAGAATAAGCACGACTATTTTTTATAGGATAAGGGTGACAAACGAGCACACAGTCCACCTGATGGTAAGTGGTTGCTGCAGCCCATAGACATCCACATCAATACTCGATTACAAATCAAAATGCAGATGCGTTGTCACCCGTGAGGACTAAGATGGAATGCCTCATTTCCAGTAAAAAGGGTCTCCGGTTCTCTACACTCACCATACGAAACACAGCAGCGTTAAGCTGCTATTTTACGCTGGTATTCTGTGAGAGCGTGGTCCTTCCCCGGTCGACCCGACGCATTCGTGCTACAACTATGCTACTAATATAGCTGCAGCATGGCTCTACCACGTGAAAAAAATTACAATCAAAAATTTTATTGGTGCCGGCGGGGATCGAACCCCTACTGGACTCTGATATAATGTAAGTGTAGTCTAATGTATTGTAACCTTTCAAACCAGAATCGATCTCCAAACCTGAATATATTCATTTGACGAGCCATGATGCAAAATAATGTAGGGCCAACAAAAGTATCGTTAATGACGTTTTCACTCATTATACCCGCGAGCAAATCCACATCATCAACATGTTCATAGAGATGACTTATCATCTCCACTTTCTGTAAAAGATACGGCATTTGTATCACAACATAATTATAAAAGTATTCGTAACATTATTTATTTTAATGAGATCACTATGCAGCCAATTACGACCGAGTATTTACGCTTCGTTATTTTAAATTAGGTAACTATAAATTGGAAGTCTCTTTGATCATTAATTCGAATCCTTGTTCCTTTACTTCAAACAAAATAATTTAATTAATATTATTTCCATCTATTTCAGAGGCTTCTATCAAAGATTAAATGATAGGAGGAATATTTGTCACATTTGTAGTAGGGTTACAATCGCAGTTATTTGTTAGTAGGCGGGTAACAGTGTCATAAGGAAATTGCTGCTGCCCATGTCTTTGTTCATTCTATCTTTGTCGCCCGCAAGATGTTAGTGAATGAACACCACAACTACACGGCTTATTTAATTAATATGCATATGCCTATATCTTGATGTAAAAAAAAAATCTTGTTATAATTTCAATGAATATGCGAGTATAAGGGTTCGGTACTCACATATTACGAATACGAATTCCATCCCCGCTGGCATCAATATTCATATCAACAATTTCAATAATTGTTAGTACAATCTTAATTGTAACTTACTACTAGCCCGGCGGTAAATCGAAACATTGTACCCACTGATAAATAAAAAGGTGCCTGTGCCTTGTGTGTTAATGTGTGCTATTTAGTTAAAAATTTAGAATTTTATTAATATTATTATATACATGTGATTTTGGGTTTGTCCTTTTTTTCTTAACGTGAAATGATTTTTGCAAAGGGATAGTTTTAGGGCCGGGAACAGCATAGGCTACTTTTTATGCCGGAAAATGTGTGTTTACTGTGGGAAAATTTTGGAGCATATTCCTTTAAGTTTTTTATGTACGTTAGGTCCTGGAAAACACATTGGCTGTGTTTTCCTTTGTTCATCTTTCGAAATAATATAATTTTCCAACCTCCGCGTGGGCAAAGCTTCGTTCATATTTTATAAATTGAAGTTTCAGATAGCAAACTGACACAAATGTTTTGGTTAATTTTCAATAATTCAAAATTATTAAAATTATGACCAGGGAAGGTCCACGCTCCCACAATAGCAACAAATATGATGATTAACTGAGAGTCTTTCTTAGTGATAACGAGAAATCACTATGCATTTATATGGGGTCATAATCATATATTATACATAAGTTATTTTAATTAAAATTCTACTGAGTTGCCACGCCCCTACCATAATGTGTAAGGAATTGCCAAACAAACATATTTCTTTTTTGCACGCCTTATAACTCGAAGTGTTATTAGGTAGTGTATTATTCTCGAAACGTCAAGGTCAAGCAATTTTTTGTTCTTAAAATGCTTCTATCATAACCATATTCCACTTATAAAATAATATGAGTAGCCGTATATCAAGAAAACACTCTAATTAATCCATCTTATATTTTCTCAAATATCATTTAATATTGCAATTTTAAAAAAAACAAATTACGTAGACGTTTGGATGTTGAAATTGACGTATCGAGACCTGATTTTTTTTTTAACTTCAGAATTACATCAACTAGTATACTATTTGATATCAATAGCCTAGTACGCGTACTTTACCCACACAATTAGATTATATATTATTATTTAAAATCAATGTCCAGATAGGCACAGTTTGGAAATTTTATTATCTTTATTAATAGATAATGACCACCCTAACTATGCTCTATGCTCTCTGGAATATGTTTTAACGCAAATAAGTTCTGAAGTCCTCGCAAAAGTAACACATTTATAACAACCGTGTTTAAATATTAAGGTGTAATTACCTCAATGTCAATTACATCAGAAAAATCTTCAAAGATCTTGGCAGCTTTTAGACCACATATGCGCCTATATTCATTATGTCCTCCAATTCCTAAGTCTCGGCCTCTTTGAATATCACTTGCGGCGAGGTCGTGAGCCTTTTGTAAGTGACCAAAGTAATGCTCCGAAATCTAAAAATAATAGCACTTTTTATGTTTTTGGAAATCATAAGAAAAACATGTTGTTACTATATTTATTTCTTCCAGTCAGGTCAGTGTATTCATTTAATAACTATATTTAACCTACTTCTGGATCATGTATATCGTCCATTTTAGCTGCGTTCTGATAAAATGTTCCACGATTGATTTCTTCAAAATTATTATTTTGCTCTAAAACATCCTGCCTATATAAAGTGTCACTATAAGGTAATTCATCAACGTAGTTATAGTTTTCATTGTATTTCCTGAAAAATTTAATTTTATTTAGAGTGCCGGATTTTTTCCATTCCTTCATTACAGCATATCAAATGTCCACTGAAAAACATATATCCACCCCATAGAGTGCCTCATTTGGGAGACATTTGTCATAATTGCCACGCTTGGCATCGACAAAGGTGTGCTGGATTATTTCCCGCTGTCACCTCTAACGACCGACTCACGAGACGACATGAGAGAGTGGATATCCTTACACCGGCACTATACTAATCTAAATTTATTTATGGGTTTTTATTTCTCCTCTTATGTTTGTATTTATTTTATGTACTCATATTACTTGATTCTTCCGTTCAATAACGTGTGAAAGAAACGTGTTGCTATCTCGTACTCGGCAAACACGATAGGTAATGCGTCTTCATCGTACACATTGACTTGCTGTATGCGATTTGATATTAAGCCATAATTGATCATATTTCTAAGACCTGACAATAGAAGACAATTATCAAATTCATAGCTCTGTCACATTATTAATGTTTTTTACAAAAATAAAGGATGGCAATCTAGCACATAATTCACCTGATAGTAGGCGAATACTATATCCTATAGAAATTTACATCTTTAATTTAGTAAGAATCATAATTCAGACGTGTTGTTTACCCTGAGGACTTCAAATGAGTGCCCAGTTACCAGTAAAAAGTGTTTCCTGGTTTTCATCACTCACCAGGTGAAAGATAACAGAATTTCGTTGCTAGTTTATGATATTATTCCGTGCGTGACCTATGTCGTGTTGCAAGCATAATGCGCTATAATACCACATACAAAATAAGTAAACTAAGAAAGATTCTTACAGAGATTGACGAGTATTTTCAGAAAACCGCCATGGTGCCCTTGCATTAGATAATTACAAATCTGTTAAAACCAACGCTACGATGACATTGAAAGAATATTAGTTTTAGCACAATAGCTGCATATACAGCTATTATTTCTATTTCTAAAAATATTATAAGACCCTGACAACACCACAACCACTCAACAAAATTTCATAGTTGTTTCACACTCGTTGAAATTTGTCATCAGCTTTATGGAATTTACAGTTTTTTTTATAAAAATAAATGTACAATATTTTATTATACACAATATAAAAAACTATAATAAAAAAAAACTAAAACTAGTAACTTAATTATCATACAGTCCTACTCCCCTCGGTATCGTGCCAAGAACGCTCGTTGCGTATCCCCGCGGAATAGCTATAATAAGCCATTGAGCGAGAAAAGAACCAGCCCTCTTATCACCAGCAGCAACACCAGCCGCGGATGGAGTTCCTTTAAGAATTTCACCGCAGGTGAACCCCACGGATCGATAATCTCTACAGCAAATGGCACAAATATGTACTCATCTCTCAGAGACTCATATTTGCGCCACTTCTCAGTTCAGCTGCCTCTGATGCCGGCCGGCTTTAAACAAGGTACCCCTGAGATGACAGGCCGCGAAAGTGTCTACGCAAGTTGAATCCCACACTATGGCATTACCTCTCTCCCATGGGACCAATGTCATACCGTCAGGTCTCTTGCCATCGTCTTTAAATATTCCACAAGGCTCCAAAACCGAGAGAACATTTATAGAGACAAGAGCCCTTTGGATGACATCGTTCAAAGAAACGTGCCGTGAAAACCTACCAGCTCTTTTCTAACATGAAAGTCCGTGGAGACCAAACCTGTCGACGCTGCTACCACAGGAGCACTGATGGAGTTGACGGATTCCTACGGCGATGCGTAAGCTTTCCCCATCAAGTAATGTGCAGATATTACTTGATGGTAAAGCGGGTATCCAGTGGCTAGATTCCTTAGTCGAAACGACTGTTTCTAACTGAGGAATCTAGTCGCCTTCAGCCTCTTCTGACTGAAGGCGTGCCTTACCTTGGTTACTATGGAAATTATGAAACAAATCTTTCTGTACGTTCTGTACCAACGGAATATCCCACTGTTTTTTTGGTTAACTTCCAGTTGAACCTTTTTCGGCGGGAGAGCGTTTTCCATATCTGCCCTACCTCCGAAGCAAAGCACAGGTCTACTTTATTATTTAAAATTATGTTACATAAATCACTGACACTATGCATGGGAGCAGGGAAAGTAGCTTGACTCCAGACTGTTGTATTGAAAGTTAAATTTATAATATGTTTCTATAGCTATTTTAAGATTATTATCAATAAATTTTAAAATATAATAAATGTTATTTAAAGTATAATAATTTTTCTTAGTTTCAACATAATATCTGCAAGGTAACATAAGTTCTAGGGTCCTCGAGAAATTAAAAGCGGGCACAGTTTCTTATATTATTCAATAATTAATATTACAAGATATGCACCTCTATTTGAAACCGTAAAGTGCATTAATTTACCGAATTATACGTGATTATCTCACCTAACAATACTGGTAGAAGTTCATATATAAATATGTTAGCTGTTGTAGCTATATTAATCTGCCTAGCAACCTTAAAAAGACGGTCGTCTTTCCAGCATGGATTTAGTTCGTGCAAAATTTTCGCCAGTCGGTTATGTTCACGCATAAAAAATATTGCTATGCTGGTCGTTCTTAAATCGAAGCTACCTGCTTCAGGAAAACCTATAAAATTCAACGTGTTAGTATTTATATTGTTACAAAATGTTGTTAAAAATCAGAAAATAACTTACCAAATATATAGCAATTTGTTTCGTTCTCATTTTGTAGATATATATGCTTGGTAGTATTAACCAAGGGTACTGTGCGGTTATTTCTTTCCTCAGTTTTCAACAACCCATCTTCCCATTTTCGAACCGAATTCATTGATTTTTTATCAAATCCATAAAATGTTGATAAATCTATTACTGGTGTCTGTAGGTTAATCTAAAGAAATTTATTCAAATTAAATTCAAAACACAACCGATGGACAAGAAAAGGTCTTGAGTGACAACCTCGTACCGGTAAGTAAAATGCAGGGCGGTCACCCACTATATGGAGTGACGATTCTCTTTAGGTAGATATGCAGGAAATCAATAGACATAGTTCGTTCAGGACTATGCTTTGTGGCATTCCTTGAAAGAAGCCTATGTTCAGCAGTGGACTTGCCATGTACTGTAATGATGATGATTTCTTATAAGGAAAGTAAGTTTTTTCGTCAAGGACCATAATTATGCTTTTTCACTTTTTTTAAATGTGTACGAATTGTAAATGGTTTCTAGCTAAACTTCAGAACGTGCAATGAACCAAAAATGACGGCAAAATTTAAATTAAATTACTTATAACTAATTAGGTCATTTATGATAATAATACTACTTAAAATCTATGTGTCTCTACGATTAAAAGTTAATCTTTAAAAATTTACTAACATGTTCCGGGAGCATCGAGTTGGAAACACAACCGACGTCTTGAAATGTTTCCGTACGGGTAAAGTTGAGACATCGTATATCTGTCACTTTAAGATAAGGATCGTCTTCGGGCACTTCTATAGGCATGCAACGCGAATCCTTTTCCTCTAACGAGTGACAGCAATCCTGGCCCTTAGTAAGATAATCCACTGGAAAAATCTTGACGTGTTTTGTCTGATTTTACAATACATAAGGAATACAATATAAATTTAAATTCAACAACATTAAATTTTGTTCCTCAATACATGGCAGTATAACTAAGAGTGTATAACTTATTTCCAGATGTTCTTAAATACCTAATCGGCGATTGGTGCTGCTACTTACTGCTCATTAGAAAAATCGAGTGTTTAATAATATTTTTATTAACATTATTTTTTAAAGGTAAAAAACATTTTTTTTAGCAAAAAGTTAAAGCTGACTTCAAAGAACTAAACAGAACAAAATACTTTCAAATTATGACCTCGGTGCTTAGACATAGTGTATAAAAGCAATAAAGCCCCGACTTAGAATGTAAAATTACTTTATTCTTTTTGGTTATTTGAAGTCGAAAAAAATTCCTACAGTTGAACATAGTACCGTCTCCTTTTTTGAAGTCGGCTAAAACGTAGATATTTAATTCTTAAATAATTAAAAATAAAGTTGAAACCTATAGTTGTATGTCCAACAATAGGACACATTCATTCATTTCTGAAAGAGTTTTAAAACAGTAAAAAGTCCACCGCGCTCTTTCCACTGCGTGTTGGATAAATTCACGATTCCTCGGAATAATTTTAATTATTTTTTTATATTTTTACCTTTATTTATTTATTTTTTATATTTAATTATTTTCATTCAACGCCGAGCACGATAATCTAGCAACAGATTGCAATTACCTGTAGTATCTACATAGTATCTATACGTATGTTTGGGTATAATATAAGATATAAACTTAACAATAACGTAATTACAGACAGTTTTACGTCAACACTCAAGTGTTTCATTTCCCTCGTCCTTACATGGCGACCCTGCCAGGCGGTGCGCTGCGGCAATGCAAGCGCACCGCCGGGCCTATTAAAAATAAAAAAAAATGGGAATAAATATTGCTAAGTGAAATAAAGAAGATCTGAGTAAAATAATTGACAATAAAGTAATATTACAACGCAATGAATACAACACCGGACGTGACGAATCATAAATAAATATAAATTCGAGAAGTAGCCACAATAACTCAATAAGAATTTTATATAAGCTGACTGAAAATTTAAAATATTTTTTTTTAAATAAAATTTTAAAATATATAGTACTATGAAGACAACTAACGAAGAATGAGGAAATAAAATGGCGATTTTTTTAATATGATGACCAAAGTTCAAAATTCAAGAAACGGCAGATTAGTTTTAAAAGGAAAGTAACAGTTGTACTTTTGCAAGCTTCATCTAGAAGAATATGAAATATGAGCCAAAAAGAACAAAGAAGAAAATTTGAGAAAACATCGCATTAGTCTACTTTTGTCATTTCTTTATAAGATTTCTTTAAAAAGTTTTAAATATTATAAAAAAAGAAGTTATATACTAAATATTCTGTATTTCATATATGTTTAAGTTGAAATTAATTATTAGATATTTTATATTAACGATTAATTTCTTATTTTATTATTGTTTTAAAAAAAATCATATTACAATAATTATAAATTAAGTTACGTAAGTGCTTCTAATATGAAATATGAAAGATAAAATTTTTACGCACTTAATTTCACCAAATATATTGTTAAAATAACAACGAAATGTATCTTTGTTTTTTTTTCTGTAGTCTTTTAATATAAAATTATACAATTCATTCAACAAACTAATTCTACACATTCAACACCATATTTTTTATTATGTTTTAGACTATATAAAATAAAAAAAGCACATAATGCATTTAATATTAAATTTACGTTATTTACAAGTAACTTGAAAATATTTGTCACATTTTATAATATTTCTACTATATTCAAAAAACAACAATATATTAAGCTACATTTTAGGATGATCAGGTTCGGATTAAAAGCAAATATATTTTTAAATCTAACCCAAATTTATTTCTGTAGTAATTTTTATTTAAATGTATATAATTTTGAAGGATTTAAAAAAAAATCGCTATTAATAAAAGTCATAATTATTTTTCTTCTTTTCTAAAGGTATGAAAACCTTGAAACGATTTTAAAGTTATAAATAAATATATATTCTTTAATAAATAACCTGAAAGTTAATATAACCTACTTAAAAATGAAAATCATTCTTCTCTTTGTTTAAATAAATTAATGTTTTGTTTATATAAACTTGGTAGCCGTTATAGTGACGACGACTTATGTTCCCATTATTATTTCTTTGTTTAATTTGAATATGAAATGCAATAATTTTTTAACTTCAATTTTATATTTATTGAACTTTTAAATCATAAACTTTTAATTTTTATAATTCATTATTTCCTGGGAAAATGATAAAGTTTGGATTATTTAAGTTATTTGTATACATGAGAAAATATTTTCTTCAATTTATTTATTTAAATTTTGTTGTGATCATTGTGAGCCTCATTCCATAACTGAAAATGATGTACCTAAATACTACAAGAGACCATATAAGAGACTCATTTAATAAATTTGTAAAGACGTGAGTTAATTTATGGCTACTATATTAAAGGCTAATATAATATAACTAAGAAGTACGGAATTATAAATGAAAAATATTAATAGAGTGTAGTTGTGAGAGTAAGGCAAGTAAAGAAAATTATCGGAGATTAGCATATCCACATACAATCGGCCTGATCAGCTGAGAGTTTGGAAAACCTAATAACCGAGTAATTTTTTTAAGGTTGTTCGTATGCGATTAACGACGTAATGAGTTTTAATGACGCAATGAAAATATATTATGTATTGTATAGGAATAGTGTCCATATTCTTTATCATGTATGTATGTACGCGAGCCATGTACGTGAAAGTATATTATGGTACAATTAAATAATGATTAATAAAATACTATAAATGTAAAGAAATAAATCAAAATAAAACACGTTGACCTTGACGAACAAATAATGGAGAGATACGGGAACGTCCATTACTGGTATAGCATATAGTCCTCGAGCAGGGTATGCTTCCATGATTGGATGAAAAAATCGGAAGTATCGGGTACTAGGGAACAATACCTTCAGTACAAGTGAGATGTGAACAAGTTTACTCACATTAGTACTGTTGGGGTCATGAGAAGTCTTAAATTTGTTACCCTTGATAATGGTACATAGAGGTCACATCCTTCATTGGATCATAGTGTGAACTTAGTTTTCCTCAGTGACAATTGTTGGAGTCCTTTTAAAATGACTTAAACGTAGACCTCAAGGTTGTGCGCACAACCCAAGGTACAGTTTTACCTTGATATAGTATGATAAAAAAAGTTTATGTACCAATAAAATGAAATGAATGTTATGAAAAAGTAATATAATACCCAAGTAAATGGGGGGCCCATATTTATAAAGTACCCGCGTGATGAAAATCACGAAACAAAATATAAATGAAGTGAATTAATACTCCGATTCCCGGTACCTAATTAATAAATAAATATATAAGGGAAGAGAATACTCAAAGAAATAAAGCTAGCTAAACGTCAAAAACATTAAGAAAGAAAAGAAAGTACGTACAAGAATTATGAAATAAATAAATAAGGCCTGACAACCGAAAACAAAGGAAATTAGATTAGTGTTAGCATGAAAATAACTAACATGCAAGGACATGAGAATAATTAAAATGAGGTAATAAGGGGATCTCCGACAAAATCTAAAAGTGAGATATGTAGTTATTTTGCATTTCTGTATTAGAGCTATTAATGCTACACAAAATCCTAATCACAAGTTACACATGTACCCAGTAACTATATTATCGATCCACATAACCACACGTAAACAAAAAATATTAATCAAAAATTGTAGACACATTTTCACGTACATACTTAATTATTTTACCATATTTTATATGAATATACAAGATTTTTTCATATTTAAATTGATTTATATTTTACATTAAAAAAAATGTTTATTTATGTAAAATTTGTACAATTTTAAACTAAAATTCGGTAATCCAAAGTGTATTAATTTGCTATTTATTATAAGTTTTTTTTTTATTTTCTACAATGAAACCAAAAATTATATGATTATATACTTAAAAAAAAAACTTTTCTTTTCCAAAATTTAATAACATTTTATTAACATACAACATATATTTTCTAATACAGACTTATATATGTGTAATAGTCTATCTTTTTTACAAATTTGTGTTTCAAATAAGATAAACATGTTCCTTAGAAGTCATGAAATCTTAAAAAAAAAGTAATATGTAATACGTTTCCGACTATTAATGATAAAAATAACACATATTACTTGATAATGTAAAAGTATTATAACAATGCAATGTAATCTTAACTATGTAAATGAAAACGTGTTTAATACTATAAATTTTAGACATTTTTAAGTGTATTTATAATAAAACATTTTGTAAGTTATGTTGAAATTAGGTATCATCATACGATGTAATGGCAAACCTTCCCATAAACGTACTTTGGAATTGAAAACAAAAGTGTCACAAATCGCTGACGCGACTGGGATTGCAATTTGTATTTTGATCTGGTAGTTGTTATGATAATGAAAATGATTACATTGCCTAACATAGACTTCTTTTTTCTGTATATCTTAAAATGAAATGTAATATTGTCGTTTTTATATTTATTGAACCTTCAAATCATATGTTTGTATCTTTATAAGGCATTATTTTTTGAAAAAAAAGTAAAGTATTAATATTTAAATAATTTGTATGGATCATGAAAGAAATGTTTCATTAAATATAAAGGTATAAATAAATGAAATATATAACTATAAAATTATAAGTATAAATGTGAATAAATATATAAAGGAAGGCTACTATTTAATGTGAATGTCTACATAAATGACTTAATAAGTAACCGAATAACTGAGTATCAAAGTGTGTTACAGTGATGTGTCGACCAAAATAATATACGTTCGCGAATGTACACCTGATTTTGTCAAACATAATGCATCAACAATGCAAAAATGCATTAAGCCTTAAACATACATAATGTGATTACGGAATTATTATGTACATAGGGGGTTTGGCCAGCCACCCTACCCAAGCCAAGACAATTATTACTCGTATATACATAATTATAATATTAGACTTTATTAAACATTGGCTTTTACTATATAATCGATTATAATTATAATAAATTAGTGTAATAAGCTTTATTAATTAATATTACTTTACCTTAATATTAATTACTAAGTACCAATTGTAATCATTTTAATCTAAATATTATTTTAACTATGCTTTACCCATGTTTACATTTTATAAATTAGAATACTTAGGGATATAATTATTGTGTAATTTTAAATGTTAGTTTTATATTAAAAAAAAAAGAAATGCACGTATTCATTTCTTTTTTTCTTTGGGAAGGAAGGTGTAGTATCTACATAGTATCTATACGTATGTTTGGGTATAATATAAGATATAAACTTAACAATAACGTAATTACAGACAGTCTTACGTCAACACTCAAGTGTTTCATTTCCCTCGTCCTTACATACCATTTTCAGTGGTGTTGGCGATTATCATACTTAGGTTGCTCACGCCCTATGAAATTTAATTGATTATGGAGAACGCCCAACCCCTGAGCTATAACTTGTTTTAAAACTTATAACATTATTTACTACTGACCGTAACCGTAACTTGTTTAGTTGCTCGTTTAAAATCAAATATTATATTCATATTCAATCTTACTTTGGTCAAATAAAACGCTGATGTCTCTATGAATATATTCAAGGAAGTGAACAGCTGCCACGTTAAAAACAGTTTTGTCTGTCACACGCCCGGTGCTCTGTAAGGATGTTCTCACTCGTCGTGCAGATGGCAATGATTTTCCATTTTTACTTTTCTTTACATCTCCATCTATTCAAATAATATTGAAAAACTATTTTACAATTCTCAAATACCACTGGCACTTTATAAAAATTATCTGTTATGATTTTATGAAACAACTTTTTTTTTATGTTCAATACAGTATCATACATATTTTATTCTTTAGACTTAACTGACGACTTTCCTATCTTGAAATCAATTTTTGTAACACCGTCATGACACAATCGAAGATTATAATTCAATTTATTTAAAAAAAATATAATATTTAACAAAACAATATGACATTACAATTGATCAAGGGACACATGCAGCGGACAAGCTGACCAGGGGAGGATCTGCTGTGGAAGCCGTAGGGCCGGTGCCAATTATACCGATTCCCTTTGGTAACGTCCGTTTACTTATACGTAAGCACTTTACTGCTGCAGCATTTCATATTTGCCCTCAGAAGTTTGTTTGTGCAACATATTTGTAACCTTCTTTTTTAAAATTGGCTACAGGTATCCATGGGCTGCAGTAGCCATATATACCTGGTGGTAGCTATTTACTGTAAGTTCGATAGTCAATTCAGTTTTATAAAAAAATATAGTTTGACAATGAAATTCCATGTTGAGCGTGATGGTAGCTATTAGGCGGTAGTATTATTAGGTAGTATAATCATGTGCTAATACTAAATAGTGTTGTTGTAAATATGGTTGTTGTAAATTATAAACAATCAAAGAAACGCAGAAAACTACATCGATTTTAAATGACGCTGAAACCATTGTCATCTATTCGTACAAACACGCAATAACGCACAATCAGGGTTTTAATTGCATATGTGTGCGTCTAGTAGTGAACTTTTACTAATAAAGAAAAAAAGGAGAAAGATGTATGCGTGACGACGTTTTAATTAGTTGAGCATGGTTTAGGGGTCACTCTAAATGTAGGAGTTGAATATGCGGAATTACAGTAATTCGGTTTTTCCGCTAAGTATTGTAAATAATACATTCGCATGTTCAATGAATGTAACACCGACTTCGTAGTTAAATATTAAGAGATTGCATAAATAACACAAAAACATAATTTCTACGGTATTTAAGTTCACCTTATCAGTACCTATAATTTAAAAAAAATATTGGAATTGAATGTTGTATATTTTTACAAATTTTACAACTATAATTTGTGTTATCTGTAATAGTGTATAGTGAGTATAATACTTATAAATATAACATTAAAATAAACTAGTTTGTAAAAATGTCGCTGGAACAAAACGGACTTCAATTTCAATAACTTACTTTCCGCATATTCGGACATAAGCAATCTTGAATATGGTCCTTTAGCTGTACCCAACGAAGGATATTAGTAATTATTGCAACTGCCGTCAATGCGCCTGCCTTCGTGTGGAGTACAAGGCTTAATGTCTATGGTGCACGTTCTATAAGCAATAATTAAATATTATTTTATTTCAAATTATTTCAATAAGGAATCATGCTAATACTAAACAATAAGTACACAGATCGACCATAGGAAATTTTGTCAAATGTACGTCTACGGAGCGTAGTGATTTCGGCCATTTTCTCTAATATGGATTAGGCTCTTTTTCAAAAATCTAGTAGTAGTAGTGAGTAGAACTAGGTGTGTCGAGTTTGGCCTCATTTTGTTAGATATGATGAGAGCCTTCAGGTCATCCTATCAAGTTCAAAGGTAATGAGAGCCTACCTTTGGACTTGATAGGATGACCTGAAGGTGTACCGTAGTGAATGCTGCCGGATCTCCTCGAAGAGTAGAACTAAGTATATGTGCCGAGTTTGGGATCGTTTTCTTAGTTATGATGAGACCTTATCTCTAGACTTGACGGAGTAACCTGAAGGTGTACTTCGGTGAATGCAACTGGAACTCCTCGACGAGTAGAACTAGGTGTGCCGAGTTTGGAGTCGTTTTGTTAGTTATGATAAGACCTTACTTAAGACTGGATGGAGTGACTTGAAGGTGTACTTCGGTGACTGCTATTGGAATTTTTTTACGAATAGAACTACAATTTAATTTTTTATAATATTTTCACGATCATATGAGCATTATTAGAAGTGCACTTTTTGATTTTCAAAATTTTTTTATTGACGTTTGACATAAAATTATCGGAAAAATAAAAGTATAGTAATAAGGTTATTAGTGAAAACTTGTGTATTTAATCTTCTTTAAAAAATTTACGTGTAACATGAGTGCTTAAGACATGCACATTTTGATTAACCAGTAGATTTATCATTTAATGTAACTGACTTTTGAGTCTAACAAAATAAAGTTCCATAGCCATAGCCATAATAGGCTGCAGAGTAGCTGTCTGTATACTATCCTATTCTAGAAGAATGGATACTTTTTACCTTTTTTAAATATCTTTTTCCAATATTCAACTTCATTTATTCATATAACCTTATTTACACAACATTTATAATATGGCGAATGCCATTAGGCATTTTCTTCTAGTCTACCTATGGGTAATATATAGTTCTGTTAAATTATATATTATTTATATTCATTAAAGGTATTTGTTTCAAAATATTTCGCGTATTTTTGTAAAGGAATTCATCTATTAATGTATTTCAAAACCGTGAAATAAGTTTTCATTATCTCACAAAATATACAAATAAATTAGAAACACATCCTTACTTAGTTGCATCAGACAGTTGAAGTTCTTTTAGGCGTCCATTGTCGACCTTTTCGCCACTAAACCGGTCGTAGTGAATGCACCAAATATCCATCCATCAGTCCAACAAATAATGAGGACTAACATAAAAATATGTGAAAAATATTTCTTCATTTTCGAACGCTGCTATCCTAACAACTGCAGACAGAATAATATTTCCAACACAAAACTTGTCTAACTCAGGATGCTATTCAAGGATGCGTTGTCTTTTCCTTCCAATTACATAAACTAACAAAAACAGCGATCCAATTAAGTAAAGAAAATTCAATTTAAAGCAAGCGATTTACCAATATTTTATAAAAGTTTAGAATACTGTAACCAACAAGTCAGATAATTCTTGTTCCCGATTCTTGTCCTCCTCCAGTGTATCGCCAATAGAGGACAACGCCAATAAAGATAAGTTCCCTAAATATAGTGTCATGTATTAATAGTCATATATTTGTTTTTCTATATTTTTAGTTTAAGATATCTATATAGGCCAATGTTATTTACTTTTAAGTTCTTGATACTTACTTACTTACTTATCTTCACGCACAATCCCTGACGGGGTAGCCAGAGAGAACAGATCGCCAAGTGTCACGATCCTTACATACCTCTTTCGCTTCTTTCAGATTCATTATATTCTTCATAAATGCACGTCTAGGTATCCGAGTACTCTTGACCCTACCCTCTTCGAGCAATTTGCTCACATGGTCTTCGAAAGTTAGTCTCGGTATACCTCGACACCTTTTAATATTAACTTTCGCGCTATATATTTTCTGCACCATTCGCTCTTCACTCATTCGCTCAACGTGCCCAAACCACCGAAGCACACCCTTATCAATTTTGTCATCTTTCAAACCTGCCATATTGCGAATCTCTTCGTTTCGCTTTCGGTCGGCCATGGTAACGCCGCACATTTTACGAAGAGATCGCATCTCCACTGCATTCAACTTACTTTTATGCTTCTTCTGGCATACCCAGGTTTCGCTGCCATATAACAAAGTCAGTACCAACACTGCGTTATGTATTGCAAGGCGTGCACTCTTCACTACGCCTTGCCTTTTGACTAACCCAGTCAGGACACCATTGACTTTATTCCCGGCAGCGACACGCCTGTCCACATCTAAATCACATCTTCCATCCCGGCTAAAAGCACTCCCCAAGTATACAATTTCATTTACCTGTTCTAGACATTCCTGATTTACCCATATTTCACACTTCGTTCTCTCTTCGTCCCTTTCAAATACCAGAACCTTAGTTTTATTAGCATTCAAACGGAGACCTTTAATTTCACATTCCTCTTTCATACACGTGACTAATGCCTGCAGTTCTGCCTCTGATGGTGCAATAAGCACTGCATCATCAGCATACAGCAGACAATTTACTTTTATGTCACCCAATTTCACACCCAAACAGTTATCTTTCAGCTTCTGTAAACAGCTGTCGAGATACAGTATGAACAGCCAGGAAGACATGACACAACCCTGTTTTACGCCCGTTTGGACGCTCAACATGGGTGACAGGTCATGCCCTACCCGCACATAGGATTTACAGTCACAGTAAAGAGACTGCACAGCCCTTAGCAATCTACCATCCACACCATACCCCGGCAACAGTTCCCACATTTTCTTCCTTACAACCTTATCAAATACTTTCTCAAGATCCACAAAAGCACAGAAAATCTTCTGGTTAGTAGCCAGAAGCTTCTCCATGATCATGCGGAGAGAAAACATTTGATCCGTGCATCCTCTTCAAGGTCTAAATCCGTATTGTGCCTCCCATAGAAATCTTTCCGATTTCTCTTGCATCCTACGTGTCAAAACCTTCGAGTAAACTTTACTTGCTAAACTGGTCAAGCTGATCGCCCGATAGCACCCGCAGTCAAAATGTGAACCTTTACCTTTATATAAAGGTACAATGACTGCGGATCGCCAATCATCCGGGACATCCCCCGTCCGCCAGCACAAATTGCACAGCAGATGAAAGCTGTCCCAGACGCGAGGCCCACCATACTTGACCATTTCAGCAGTAACTCTGTCTAGTCCCGCAGCCTTACCACATTTCAAACTTCGAATCGCAAGTTCAATCTCTTTCATACTGATGACCTCAGTGTCATCGAGGTCCAGGTCTGACGTACCAGTCACGGCGTCATCCCCGGATCCCTCACTTATATCATCACACGCATACATTTCTCTATAAAATTCGCTCCATTGCTGCATGACGTCCGATTTTTCTGAGAGGACGTCATTAGTTCCCGAAAGCACTTTGTTCAATCTTAAGGCCGTCGCACCACTTCGGGTCCTTCCAACCTCTTTCCAGGAGAGCTTGGAGTTCTCCTTAAAGTTGTGCGACAACCTTTCGTCCGCTTCCATTCTACACCTTTCACGCACTTCCTCAATCAATGCTTTCGTGTGAACTTTCTGCAGCCTATATCTTTCTTTCATCTTCTCTCTCATATCCTTATCATTACTAGAGGCCAAGTAGTCTAACCATGCTTTCTTCTTCTTCTGTACAGCTTCTTTCACTTCATCAGTTCACCATGCATCTCTTCTTTTACTACTGCCTCTTTTTATTGCTCCACACACTTCTTCTGCTGCACTTACCATTTCATCCCTAAGGTTCTGCCATGTTCTTTCTACACATTCTTTTCTGCCATCGATGGTGTCAAGCTTTTCGGCTACCCTCACATGATATTTGTCCCTAGTATCCGCTTCCTGAAGCTTCCAGCTTCGGATGCGACAGACCGACTGTGGTTCTGTTACTGCCAAGTTCTTGATGATTGAAATAAATATGTTATTGTATAAAGGATCAAACATTTCAGTTACACAGTTACCTTTTTATGTCTTTGAGTATTGTTATGCAAAAAGATGTTTTTACTTATACTACTTATACTATTGTACGTTATTAAAACTGGTCGCGTAGTGGCGGCGTAAAGAAATCCACTACGAAATATCATTGCGTCGGTATTGTAAGAGCGACAGACGGAATGAAACAGGAGATGTACCGCCAAGCGTAGCCAGTAAGGCCAATATCGCTTTATGATGCAATCTATGAAGGGAGGCCTATGATAGTGGACTTTTGTATCACTGGCTGTAATGAATAAATAACGTATAACAAAACAACATATAGACAATTATTTTTATAATACTTCATTAAACAAATCATTTAAATGTACTGTTTTTATAACTGATTCACTGATTGTATATCAGTTAAGGACAAATATACAAACACATACTTTAGTATTTACTAATAATAAACTAACAGGTGCTACCACCTGCTTGGGATCCCATAATTAATGAAATTAAATCCCAACCCAAGCGTACAACTGTAAGACTTCAAGATACTATTTATTCATATTGCGTAGATCGAAACAAAAATTTATAATTTTTAATCTGGAGGTAGCCATGGTTAACTATGACATTGGGACGTCATACACCTCAGTCCCCCCCGTGACCATGGGTGCTGGAAAGTGCTCGAAACTTCGGGAATATAAAATAAGTTAATATACGCGATGACATCCGTAAAATTAGTTTTATTTAAACTTTATTAGTAATTCACCATTATAGATATTACAATTTTAGTTGTATATGTATAGTGTAGGGTTTTAGTTAGTGCGAGTATGACATATCTC